TTGTTTCATAAGAAACAAGTCTTCATCCTGTGTGATGTTTAACACATTACAGCTAAAACAAAATCATATTATATATAGATTCATTTTTTTTGGTGGTGATTTCCTTTCTTCACTAGATGAGATCAGAAGGTTCATATTTAGAAACCATTCTCGGTGAAAGACGCTCACTCTTCATCTTTTCCAGCCGTGGTACGACAGCCTTTTAAGGAACTCACTTGTTCTGCTTGTGTTTGCACTACAGGGTCCAGAGGGACTTGGGTCTAAATTAAGTTCTGTAGGATGGTTTTACTCTTTTAAAAATGCCCCTTCTGAGGTTGTGGTGCTTACTGATTGTTTTGTTTTTCCCCAGTTTTATATCAGATTATTTTTGGTTTGTTTTTTTGAGTAACTACAGTTAAGGAATAAAGTAACCAGATTACATAAATAGTGGAGACAAAATCCTTCCTCCCTGTACTCTCATATCTATACCTGTCTGCAGACATCTTCACCAAGTCCACCTACACAAACCCATGTACATTAAAGATGATATGCATTTAATTTAACACTTATTTTTCTTGTAAAACAGAGAAAAATAGGAAGGAAACCATTCCTCCCAACAACTTAAAATCCCAGACTTCATCTTCTTTTCTACGAATGTGTTATTTATATAGAGAGATATCTTTTATACTAATTTAGTTTGCATACAAAAATAATTAGGATGGGCCTTTTCAAGAGGATTTGGCTACCCATTCAGCACAAAAACTTTCTAGATGGAGAGGCTACATGTTTTTCTTATTTTCTGAGACATATATGCTGTTACAGTGGTGCATGCTCAAGTTTCAAATGAGGTCAGTATATGTGCAAAATCCCTGTGAGCCAAAAGCTCAGGCTTCAGACCGCTCTAATCTGTCTTTGCTCTTAATGGTGTCAGTGAGCGCAGATATCCCATATACGGTCATCTCGGGCACAAAGAGCCCTCACCAACCTGCTGTTCAGACCTTTGGTTTGTTTGGGGCAGTCGTTCAAAAGTTGGTTTAAAGGAAGGGTGTCCTTAAAGGGGAGGGCCCAAAACTTGTTTCAGATAGTTAGCGGGTACACTGGAACACAATGCACCCCCCAAGATGAAGATTATTTTAAACTATGAGTCATGAAAAGCTAATCTAGAAGAAGCCAAAAATGTCTCCAGGAAATTTTAAACCTTTTTGTCATCATGTTTACTACTGATCTTTTATGATGATGTCATTTTGGCCATTTGCCTG